CTCCTCCTCCTCTTCCTCTTCTTCTTCATCTTCAACCTGGTAAATATTAAAGACTAAACAAACAAAACCCCAACTAATTTTTTACTTCTTAGTGGCTGGTGCCAAAAGCCCAGGTATTTTCTGACTTCCTAATATTGTATTGCTGGTGCACAGTATGAGGATGTTGAAACCAGGCTGATAGATAGATGCTGCCTATCTGTGCATTTGGGGTGAAAGGCTGCAGCTTCCTGAAGGAAGAAGTCAGCCATGACCCCACTATTAGTATTCATTGGTTCACAGCTTCTCAACTGTTTCTCTACCTTGGTAAAGGGATCCAGAGAGACAAGGGTTTCCTTTACTTTGGCAGATCCTTTTCATCCTTGTGAATGCAGACGAACCAAGAAATGGGCGTGTCTTTGAGTACTTCCGCATCACAGAGGTCAATGTCCCATCTGTCCAAATCCTAAACTTAAGCTCCGATGCCAGGTACAAAATGCCTTCGGATGAGATAACCTATGAAAACCTCAAGAAATTCGGGCTCAGTTTCCTGAGTAGAAATGCCAAGGTAAGTTTGTTCTTGGATAAGCTTTATCCAGAACCCTCAAATCATCCCTTTCTCATAAAATCTGCTGTGTTTCGTCATCCAAACTGGGGCAGGAAGGCAGTGGGTATGGGGAAGGATAAATTCAACCTCAGGGCTCAACTAGGGAACCCCCACCTCCAATCTATTCAACCTACCTTGTAATTCTGCTATTCCTCAGTTATAAAGTTCTCATTTTCTTTGAGACTTCTCCATTGAAATTCAGGCACTCAAGAAGGCTAATTTATCCTCTGAAAGGAGGTTAGAAGCCTCTTTCTGGAAGATTTATCTGATCTAAAGGTAGAAGGGGAATGAACACACAGAGCAATCAGAACTTAGCCTGAAGATGTTAGGGACCTTTCAGTTGGGTGGGTCAAAGGAGTGTATTTTGCTGAAACGGAAGGGAGGTGCAGAAGAATAGCCACATGATGCATCATCACTCACTGTTCATTTTAAACTTGCTGTGTCCTCAACTACCCAGCTGAGTAAGGTGAGCATATTATTTATTTCCCAAACTGGGATACTACTCTTTTTTAAAAGTTCATTTCATTCATGATATCTTATTAAATAGAGTGTACTATTGTAATTAATTTCACCTGTTTCTTTTTACTTTGTCTAATGAAAGTACTAGCAAAATGTAAATTCTACCTATGACTCACATTAAGTGCCTTCCATCTTTCTTCTGTTTTGTCAGGCCATGTCGGGATTGGCCAAAGGATATTAGAGAGACAGAGACAGAGGGGAAGTGGGAAATCACCTCCCCCCTCCAAGGGTTAATGGCCACACCACAATCTCCTCTCTTCAGTTCTCCTCTCGGGATTCTGGGCAAGCACATACAGGCACCTGGCATAACTTACAAGCCGCTGAGTCTGGAACTAGAACCATGGAGTCAGCCATGTGGGATCTAGGACTTTAACTACCACACCACCTATTGGCCCCCTTTATAGCTAATTTTTTAAAAAATGAAAATGAAACCAGTTAAGACTAAAGACATGAGCCCCACACTCATCTAAGACTCCTACAAATCATGTATTTGAGAACTAGTCCATCCCAGTGTGGAGCTCTGTCTCCTCAGCTCCCTGACCCTAGCTTGCCCGGGATAATTCAGAGTTAACATCAGCTCACCATCTATCTCAGCATTTCAAACACTTCCCCAAGGCTCTTGTCTAACACAAGAGAAAACCTCTCATTTCCAATTTGGGTGGGAAACCCCAACTCCAAACCATTTCTGTAGACTGTTAGACTTCTCAAATTTGCTTTCTAGAAACATCAATCCAGTGAAGAGATTCCAAAATATTGGGACAAGGGGCTGGTTAAACAGCTCGTGGGGAAGAACTTCAACGTGGTCGTCTTCGACAAGGAAAGGGATGTATTTGTGATGTTCTGTAAGTACCTTCACAGAGGTGAGGGATGGAAATGGGCCCCAACATTACTTGTCAAATGTCGCACCTAAATTCCTGGACATTGAAATCTCCAAAATCCACCAGTGTCCATGCCATGCATGGCCTTTAAACACCATGCTATGTAACTCTCTCCCAAAAAATCTAACTCTGGGAATGTATGGCTTGCCTTCCACATGATCCAGGCCTCTGGCTATTTATAGCAATAACAACAGTGATTGAATGCTGCAGTGCATTACGATGCCTGGTACTGAGCCATTGCATTCACTATCTCATTTAATTCTTACAACATCCTTTTGATAATGGCTAGTATTATTACTCTTACTTTGCAGATGACTAAACAGAGTCGCAGGGAGGTGAAGAAACTCCTACATTATTAGCAACTAGTAAGTGCTGGAACTGAGACTGGCAGTCTGACTCCAGCACCCACATTCACAACTGCTGGATAGAATGTCCCTGCTTCTGGCTTTATGTGATTATCAAATGACCCTTATGAGGTGGGGATGGAAATTTTCATGTATAGAACTTACCACAGTGTCTGGCATATTATAAAATCTTGATAAATGATAATGGTAATTGCTGTTATTATTATTATTATTATAATGATTGTCAGTGTTCACCTAAGGACTATTAACATTTTTCTAATTGTTTCTGATTGCATGTATGAGCCAAAGCCAGAGGCATCTCTTCCACTCTGAGACACAGAGGAAGGTGACAGTGGGGTTACCTGAGACATCTCTCTTATTTTAACAGTTTACCATTTATTGAGTATTAGAATGAGCCAGACATGAGTTTACTATGTACACACCTGCCTTAATGAGGTGTGAGGAAGGGATGGGGGCTTCTCCCATGATACACATCAAGGAACCTGGTCTTAGGTTAATGACCTTACCCCTGGACACTCTGTAAGTAGCAAGGCAAAAAGTTCAAAGTGAGCTCCATGCCATAATTTCTTTGAGGGTAAAACAAGGTCTAGATTGCATCATGCAGGCTTTTAAAAATCTCACTGAAATGGTCTCTTGTCTACAGGATGAAGCATTTAAGGTCTGTATGGCTGAATCACTGCAATCTACTGCCTTTAAGTGAGAGGCTGGGGGCAGCCTTGCTGTACTTACCTGACACCCAGAGTTATGAGAATGTCCATTTGGTTCTGCTAAAAGGCAAAAGCAGCCTCATTTTCTGGGAAGCAGAACTATTGGATTGGCCCCCTGGGTTTGCAGCCATCATACCCCTTCCTGTTCCCACCCAGGGCCTGCTGGGCTCTAGGAGGGCTGCTGGGATGCTGCTGGCAGGAGGTGGCCACGGAGGCACTCATTTGTAAATGGGGGAAGGGTGATCCAAAATGGAGTGTCTGGGGCCCTTTGAGGCCATTCTCCCACAGAGTCAGAAACCAAGTTCTGAGCTTTAGTGGAAAGATGAGCAGGCTTCTGGTTTCCCTCGTGTTGGGGCTGGTCTCTGGTTTTTGCCCAGAAGGTCAAGAGCCTGGGGCAGACTCAATGATCTGTCCACAAGAAGGTCCAGTGCTCCCTAGAGAGTAGTTGTACTTGTCACACTTCTAAGGCACATCTGTCCCCTTCTTGGGCATGTTCTCCTTCCATGAAAGGTATGTTTTGATTATATATTATATTATAATTATATTTTATTTTATATTAGTGGCACAATTGCCACAAGTCAAAGCAGTATGTCTTCAAATCCCACTTCCTTTGCTTAATTACTGGGTGACCTTGGGCAAGTAGCTTAATCTCTATTGTAAAACCCCTGTACTAGAACACACACTCTTGTACCCACTCTCTTTGACAACATATACAGTATCATTCTAGTTATTTTTTTTTCTTCAACTAGAGTGGGACACTATTGTAAAAGGAAAGAATAAAACAAAAACAATAGACTATTAACATGCTAAAAGTATTAGTGTCTGGGTGGAAGGGGACTAGGAAATTTTCTTCTAATTTATCTATTAATGATTGGATACTATGATAAAGTATAAAAATCACCTTGTGATTAAAATGTGTCATTTATGATGAAAAAAAGGAGTGTAATTTATTTATTTATTTATTTTAAATATTTTCATTTAACTTTATTCATTTTTATTTATTTATTTATTTATTTATTTATTTATTTATTTATTTATTCCAATTTGACTGGGGTTAGGAGAAGAGAGAAAGAAAGTGAGAAAGCAAGCCGCCAGGTCCAGGACTCGAACCATGGTTGGCCATGTGGGAATCCAGCACCTTTAACCACCACTCCACCTGCCGGCCCCAAAAAAGGAGTGTAATTTACAAAGCAGAAGAACCATGAGGACAGCAGGGTGTTGGCCCCCATGGGGTAGTGCCTGCTGTCAGTTCCTGTCCGTGTGAGCCTGAGTAGAGCTGCCCTTCTCTTCCAGATGCACCCTGGTCTGAAAAATGTAAGGCGCTGTTCCCGCTATTGGAGGAGTTGGGCAGAAAGTATGAAAACCATTCCACAGTCACCATCGCCAAGATAGATATCACAGCAAATGACATCCAACTGATGTACCTGGACCGGTATCCATTCTTCAGGCTTTTCCCCACCAACTCTCAACAAGTAAGGGGCTCTTGGGACTCAAATAATGGAAATGTTGTTATTACCCTCTGTTTCACCCTCTTTCCAGCTCCGCCTTCTTCCAAATCAGCTTCATTCTCAGCTCCAGCCCCTATTATCCTCCAGTGAAAATACGCCAAAGCATATTTTCCAGTATTTCCACTAAAGTCTTAAGACTCCCTGTAAGCTGACCTGCATTGAGAGCTAAGCGTTGTAAGATATCTGAAAAGGAGTTTAAACAACCAGTAGACAGTAAGCAGCTTCTTAATCTCCTTACAGACTGAAAGAGGAAAGGGAGCTAGTGATGGTTGAAACCAACTAGGTACAAGATTCTATTTAAAATAATTACTCTTCTTCTTATTGTTATTATAGTGATGATAATAGCAAATGTATATAGTGCTCACTGTGAGCCAGGCACTATCTGATACACTTTACATATATTAAGTCAATCTTTATAACCAGGTAGGTAAGCGTTATTATTATCTTTATGTAACAGATTAGGAAAGGGAGTCAAGTCATAGAGAAGTTAAGTAATCAGACCACACTGCTAAAGAATGTAGATGGGGCTTACACCTGATAGTATGGCTCCATAGTCGTGATGTGACCTTATAATTAAAGCTTTATGATGGAAGAATTTTTATTACCCTTAGTTTAGAATCATGCTCAGAGAGGTTAAGGAACCTGCTCAATGTTCCCAGGTTGTTTGGAATCTGACCGTTGGTTTACCTATGACGTAGTTCATACTGACCCTGTCCTCTTATCTTCCTAGGTTGTCCTGTATAAGGGAGAACATACCATGAAGGGCTTTTCTGACTTCTTAGAAAGTCATATCAAGACCAGAGTTGAGAATGAGGATGAGGTAAGGGGTGACAGAAATACCTTGGATTATTCTGTCCCACCAAGAATTACTAGGAACTCAACAGAGAAAAGAGTGTGCCAAGAGTTCTATACTCTGGTGCTCTCTGGAGATGGTTCAGAATGGATGGGTGGCCATTCAGTTTGGGTGACTTTACTAGTCATCATTACCTCAAGGGAATTTACCACAGGGAAGCAGAAATGGCAGACTAGGCATATTGGGAAGGGCAAAGGTTCTAAGGTAGCATAGCTTCTCTTGGTCTAAGGCTGCTTCCCTTGCTCCACTTTCCTGAGATGGTAACCAGATGTCTTAACAGGATCTGCCTTCTGGCGTTATTCTTTTGATGGATGAGACCACAAACCCTTTTTCCCCAACCACACCTCAGTGAGGTTGTTTGCTGGAAGGTGCTATTTGTATTAGTTGAAAATGTCAGCAACATTACTCTTTGGCTGCAAAAACAATGGGAATTTACCTCATACAATTGGTAAGACATTAGGCATGGGTAGATCTAGAAGCTCTGACTAACTTTCTGTCTTCCCATCTCTGTTTTCTTTTATGTTGGCTTCATTCTCAAGCAGTCACTTTCCAATAGAGGATTAAAGATTACTCCATAGCTCTAAACTAACATCCTCCTAACTTAGAAAAAATAAAAAATGAAACCTACTTCTCGTAGTCCCAGCAAACATCCTGGACAGGGATCTCATTAGCTAAGCCTGGAGTACCTGCCCAGTCCCAGAGCTAGGGGTGAAGCAGCCATCTCTGCAGACCTAGAGCAGGAGATGTGCATTCCCCTAAGAGTTCTCTTATCAGAAGGGCAAGACCACAGGGAAGATCTTACCATGAAAACTGGGTGGGCGTTTTGTATTTATGGTGACACTCCAGGACAAAGACCAGTTCTCTTTGGGCGCGTTTAGAAAAACAGGTCTTGGCCATTAAAATCACAACTATCACATGTTTCTTGCCTATTTATCACCTTCTTCCCCGTCTCCCTCCCTTCCACATTTTATTCAACAGTTATTGTCTGTTGAGGAAAATGATGTGATAGAAGAGGAGATACTAGCTGAAGAACAAGAGTTATCTTTGATGGAGAAAGAGTCACTGGAAGAGCCCTCGCCTGAGCTGGAGAATGTCACCAAGCTGGAACAACCAACTAGTCAGAAGGAAGCAGCAGAGGAGGAGGTGATGGTGGCTATACCAACGGAACCTCCAAGACAAGAGAAGAAACAAAAAGTCAAGGAAGAACTTTAACTTCTCCAAAGCGAAGAGGAAAAATGCCCATTTTTCAGGTGCTGGCATCATTTTCTGAGTGGAAATACTCCAATGAAATTATATATCATTGTGGTAGGGTGGGTGGGAAGCTGGATAATAAAGCCTTGGAATGTCTTTGGCCCAATTTTACTCATTTTCTGGTTAGTGCTGCTTTAGAAGAGTTGTTTGACCTAAAATTAAGACAGGGCTGCAAGGGAAACCACAATAACAATATTCAAAGAGTATTTATAGCATGCTAGGCATTCATCTAGTTCTCACCTCTGGAGGATGGATTTCATTGTCCCCATTTATAGATGAGGAAACTGAGGCTTTAACAGAGAGGTTAAACCAGTAGTCAAGATCACAGCTGTTGAGGTACCACTCCCGGCAATCTCACTTCAGAGACTGTGCATATAGCCACTATGCTATCATCTCTTAGAAATTTTGGCTAAACCTATCAAATGAGGTGAATTGACTTTTTCAGTTTGCATTTTGATACAGTAAGAAAATGATCTGACCGCAAGCCTGTTCACATCTCAGTAAGTAATCCACTCATGCAAGTAATAATGCCAGAATCATCCTCAATTGCTTTTTTTTTTTTTTACTTTTATTACCATTAGAGTGAGTTATCAGACCAAGTGAGTCCACCCACTTCCCCTTAAGACCCCAGCTACTTCCCCTCTGCATGACTCTCCCTCTTCCTATCATGTGATCCCATCCACTTCACTTTATCTCCATCTACAATTGCCTACAATTTCTATGGTGCAAGAGTAACATAGCTGGTCTTTTTTCTACCACTCTACAATTTCTTCCCACCTCAACCCTTCCCAAAAGATCCTCCAAATTGCATATAGGTGCTGGGGTGATCTTTTTCTTTTTGGAGAGGTTTTTGCTATAGGGGGCATGCACTCACCAGAAAAAGAGAGAGAGAGAGAGAGACAGAGAGACAGAAAGTGAGAAATCACCCCCCAAAGGGGATGGGCACACCTTAATCCCTTCTCTTCCATTCTCCTCTTGGGATCTTGGGCACGCATGCACATGCGTCCAGTGTGACTTTAAGCCATGGGGTCCAGGACTCTAACTGTGGTCACCTACATGGGAGTCCAGCAACATAGCTATTATGTCAACTGCTGGTCCCAACTGAGGCGATCTTTTAAAAAGCCTTAGCCATATTTGCTTACAATGTCACTTTTTTAATTTAGCCCTGTAATGGCATCTTCATTGCTTGTAGAATAAAAACTGGCCTACTTTCAAGGTCCTACAGGTCTCTCCATGCAGATCTCCTCTCTCCCCTTTCTCCCCTTCACTTTCTAGGCTTCAGTCACATTTCTTGTCTAATCTTTGAACAAGCCAAGCTCACGATCTCACCTCACACTTCCTTCACTATCCCCAGATTTTCATCCAGCTGTAGATTTTTCTTGGTTAAAATCTCAGCTCAGATGTCACCCTCTCAAAGAGGCCTTCCTGGGTACCAATATCTGAAGGCACTTACTTATTTTTTGTGCGATGGTATATTGCCTGGTGCCCTGACTAGGGAGAGCTGACATTGCTATTTCCTTCCTTACTGTATTCCCAATGCCTAGAACTCTGCTTGTCACATAATAGATGTTCAATAAATGTCCGTGGATCACGAAAATTCCTTATAAAGCAGCACCGTATCTCTGAGAGGTACATGATATCATGGTGATCCCAAAAGGGAGAAGTGCTGACGATGTTGTTCCCCAATCCAATTACATTCTGTTAGTCTCTATTAGTTTCCTGTTGTTTCTCTGACAAATTAACACAAACATAGTGACTTAAAACAAATATTTATTCTCTCACAGTTCTGGAGGCCAGAAATCAGCTTCACTGGGTGAAAGCAAAGATATCATCAGGGTTGGTACTTTCTGGAAGAACTCCTTGTCTTCTCCAATTTACAGGGGTCACCTGCATTTCTTGGTTTGTGCTTCTATCCTGGAATCACTTAGACCTTTTGTTTCATCCTCTCATCTCCTGTGTCCCCAGATTCTGACTCCCCTGCCTCCCTCTTATAAGCACCATTGTGAATGCATTCAACCTGCCCAGATAACCTCTCCCTCTCCATATCCTTAGCTCACACTTGCACAGTCCGATATCCCATGTAAGGCAATATTCACAGGATCTGGAGGTTAAGATGTGGATGTATTTGAGGGTCATTCTTCGGCCCACCACATTGCTGATTTCTGACATTCATTTCCTCCAAACGATAATAGGTTTTCTCTTGAGGAAAAAGAGGGGGATTTTATTGATATTTTAGAAACTGAATTCTACACAAACCATCTAGGCTTCTGCACTTTCCACCTGTCATGTAAGGCAAATGCTGTTTGTGTTTCTTCAGACCTCCAGAACCAGCTCCCATACCACACTGCCACCCTCCCAGTGTGGTCTATCCATAACCAGACAAAGCAGGGAACAGCCGGGGGCACTGGAATGCACTAGAAGTAATAATGCCAGAATCATCCTCAATTGCTTTTTTTTTTTTTACTTTTATTACCATTAAAGTGAGTTATCAGACCGAGTGAGTCCACCCACTTCCCCTTAAGACCCCAGCTACTTCCCCTCTGCATGACTCTACCTCTTCCTATCATGTGATCCCATCCACTTCACTTTATCTCCATCTACAATTGCCTACAATTTTTATGGTCCAAGAGTAACATAGCTGGTCTTTTTTCTACCACTCTACAATTTCTTCCCACCTCAACCCTTCCCAAAAGATCCTCCAAATTGCATATAGGTGCTGGGGTGATCTTTTTCTTTTTGGAGAGGTTTTTGCTATAGGGGGCATGCACTCACCAGAAAAAGAGAGAGAGAGAGAGAGACAGAGAGACAGAAAGTGAGAAATCACCCCCCAAAGGGGATGGGCACACCTTAATCCCTTCTCTTCCATTCTCCTCTTGGGATCTTGGGCACGCATGCACATGCGTCCAGTGTGACTTTAAGCCATGGGGTCCAGGACTCTAACTGTGGTCACCTACATGGGAGTCCAGCAACATAGCTATTATGTCAACTGCTGGTCCCAACTGAGGCGATCTTTTAAAAAGCCTTAGCCATATTTGCTTACAATGTCACTTTTTTAATTTAGCCCTGTAATGGCATCTTCATTGCTTGTAGAATAAAAACTGGCCTACTTTCAAGGTCCTACAGGTCTCTCCATGCAGATCTCCTCTCTCCCCTTTCTCCCCTTCACTTTCTAGGCTTCAGTCACATTTCTTGTCTAATCTTTGAACAAGCCAAGCTCACGATCTCACCTCACACTTCCTTCACTATCCCCAGATTTTCATCCAGCTGTAGATTTTTCTTGGTTAAAATCTCAGCTCAGATGTCACCCTCTCAAAGAGGCCTTCCTGGGTACCAATATCTGAAGGCACTTACTTATTTTTTGTGCGATGGTATATTGCCTGGTGCCCTGACTAGGGAGAGCTGACATTGCTATTTCCTTCCTTACTGTATTCCCAATGCCTAGAACTCTGCTTGTCACATAATAGATGTTCAATAAATGTCCGTGGATCACGAAAATTCCTTATAAAGCAGCACCGTATCTCTGAGAGGTACATGATATCATGGTGATCCCAAAAGGGAGAAGTGCTGACGATGTTGTTCCCCAATCCAATTACATTCTGTTAGTCTCTATTAGTTTCCTGTTGTTTCTCTGACAAATTAACACAAACATAGTGACTTAAAACAAATATTTATTCTCTCACAGTTCTGGAGGCCAGAAATCAGCTTCACTGGGTGAAAGCAAAGATATCATCAGGGTTGGTACTTTCTGGAAGAACTCCTTGTCTTCTCCAATTTACAGGGGTCACCTGCATTTCTTGGTTTGTGCTTCTATCCTGGAATCACTTAGACCTTTTGTTTCATCCTCTCATCTCCTGTGTCCCCAGATTCTGACTCCCCTGCCTCCCTCTTATAAGCACCATTGTGAATGCATTCAACCTGCCCAGATAACCTCTCCCTCTCCATATCCTTAGCTCACACTTGCACAGTCCGATATCCCATGTAAGGCAATATTCACAGGATCTGGAGGTTAAGATGTGGATGTATTTGAGGGTCATTCTTCGGCCCACCACATTGCTGATTTCTGACATTCATTTCCTCCAAACGATAATAGGTTTTCTCTTGAGGAAAAAGAGGGGGATTTTATTGATATTTTAGAAACTGAATTCTACACAAACCATCTAGGCTTCTGCACTTTCCACCTGTCATGTAAGGCAAATGCTGTTTGTGTTTCTTCAGACCTCCAGAACCAGCTCCCATACCACACTGCCACCCTCCCAGTGTGGTCTATCCATAACCAGACAAAGCAGGGAACAGCCGGGGGCACTGGAATGCACTAGAGCCAGATGGCCCTACATGGGCAGGTGTTAGTATTCAGGACACGGTGTAGAACTCACCTGCCTCAGCCTTAAGGCTATGTAGCTGCCAGTGGAAAGACGGGTACAATGGAGCTGCTGGGATGAAATCACATGAAACAGAGTCCCTGACAGGCCACGTGTCAGAGCACAGGGGTGCCCCTTCAGCTCTCTCAGGTGTAACTGGAGCCTCAGCAGATGGAGGCTCAAATAGAGAGAAGTGGTATAGGTAGGTGGAATAGGTAATACTCCTCTGCTGGAGAGTCTTCTCCCTTGGCTCTAAACCTTCCTAACACACACCAACCCCTCATTCTGACTCTTTGTGTTGTGTTTTCAAAACTCTCCACCCTTTGCTTCATTCTAAAACCAACCCAAACCAAACAAAAATCTCAAACTCTTTGTGTCTGGAATGCTCTTTCATGGCTGACCATGGGGTTAAAGACCCAAGGAATGTAGTATAGAAGTAAATCTGAGTGACATTTGGGTTTTGGATTTTTACCACAAGCTAGTCTTACAATCTTGAGGCAGTTATTCAATGTCTTTGAACTTCCATCTTCCTCCCAATCAAATGGGTTGTTGTGTTTCCTTGTTTGAAAAGATGGATATAAAAACAGCAAGCACAATGATCAACACAAGAGAAGCACTCAGCAAGTGATAGCTGTCAACACAAGTCTCCTCATGTTTAAAAGTTGAGAGAAGAGTGTTTCAAGAAAGAGGAAGCTGCTGAGAGACTGGGTAAGGTTTGTGTAGAAGCAAATATTTATTGAGCACTATCCTGGAAGTAAGAGAAAGAAAGAATATTGATTTAATTTGCAATGCGGACATCTTTGATGATCTTGATAGGCAATGACCACAGAGCTGGCAATTCAGAAAGCACATCCATGTGAGCTGGAGAGTGTGCAGATAAATCTTTTGAGAAATTTGGCTATGAAGGGGCAGAAAATAGGATGGCAGGGATGGAAACAAAGGGCTGTTTGTAGACGGGATTAGTAAATGAGATTACTCCAGGGGATAAGAGAAGAGGGATGATAAAGGAGAAAGGGACAAGTGAAGGTAAGAAGGAAAGGCCATATGAGCACGTGGAAAGAGAGGGACCTTCTACAGGATGGATGCTGCCTTTCACAACAAGAGAGATGTGGAGGATGAGTATATGCAGGTGGACTAAGAAGGTGAGGAGAGAGGCATTACTTAGTGACTCTGATGAAGTATACCATGAGGTAATTAAGTGTGTAAGACTGGCAAGAGTCTTGAGAAGATAGTGGGTAAATGACCAACTAGAGAAATACAGCAGGATGCCCAGCCATGGTGAGTGAAGATGACACATTGTTTTAAAGTGTAGGTTTTATTGTTATTCAGATATGGCAAGGCCAACAGACAAAGAGACAATTGCATTAAAAAGGTAGTTTGTTATACTCACAGATCTCAGGCAGAGGTAGGAGCTCAGGGAGAAGCAGCAGGTTGATCAGGAAGTAAGGAAACAAGGGGAGATCGTGGACAGAGACTTTATTATCATTTCTGTGGGAAGGAATGGGAGATGCAGGGTAAAGACTCAGGATTGGCTAAAAATGGATAATTTCAGAGGGCTCAGGGGCTTAGAGTTGTCTCTAGTTGTCTGGCAATTAGTAGCCGGTATGTGAGAGCCCCGTGAAGGAGTCATAAATGTTGTAAGTGTTGTAGGTGCAGGGTCAGGATTGGTTGGTTTGCTTATGAAAGGCACTTTCACAGGCAAGCTGTCCACCATCTCTGGCAATTAGCTAGCCTAGGAGAGGTAGTCCTTCCAGAGTCTGCAAGATCAGATGTGACAGATGGAGTCCAGAAACTGGAAAACATAGCTATTACACTTATGAAGAGACTCCAGCCCAAACTCCCTAGTTTTCTTTGCCCAGTTAATGCCACAAGCCACCGGAAGTCAACACGTTTAATCTGAAGATACCCAGACTAGGGTTTTGACAAGGCACATGAGAAAGGCACAGAATATAAATGGCTAGTTCTGAAAAAAGAAATAACAACAGTTAGTAAATGAAAGAATAATAACCTACATTTCACCAAAGAATTGGAAAGTAAGTAACAATGGAATGTTTCACACTTATCTTTTTTGGCAAAGAGGAAAGGAAGTTACCAAAACTCAAGGTTGGTGAATATCGTTGATAGAATTGTAAACTAACTTTTGAAAATCTCCCTGGGGTGCTGTTAGGGAAAAGGTATAGATATTTTCGTTGTTGGTGTTAATTATCCTGAGGCACATGTGTTGGCAGCAGAGAAACAGAGAGAGAGAGAGAGAGAGAGAGAGAAAGTGAGAAAGCACCCTGCCCCCACATTGGGGGATGGTTACACCACAATCTCCTCTCTTACATTTCTTTCTCTTTTGTGATTTTGAGCACACATCCACATGTGTGTGGTGTGTTTTTCAAGCTACTAGGTCTGTGACTTGAGTCGTGCAGTCAGCTATGGGATCTAATTGCTTTAACTATCACATCACCTAGTTGAAACTAGGTAGGTGTCAATATTCTTAAAGCTGTGCTACCTCTTTGACTCAAATTTCACTCCTATGAAATTGACTTCAATGAGAAGATGATTGCACTAGTACTGATGGTTGCTCTACCACTGCATGGGCTGGAATGAGAAAGGCCCTGCTCTGAAAAGGTCAGTGGTGAGGGCTGGACAGAGACACGATGGTAAAGTACCATGCTCTGTGAGGCTGACTTACTTGGAAAGGTTCTGCGTTTGCATCTGTAGACCTCCTTGAATACACTGGGAACATGTTTGTCCATGATCTGAGCTGGAGAAGCTTGGGATGGATCGTGGTGTCAAGACCTTGTTGGGGGAGAACACCCTGTTGAGCTCTCTCTCTCTCTGTCTCTGCTGCTCATGGAAGAAATAAATAAATAAAAAGGTCAATGCTGTGGTTGAGGTTATATTTTCTGTTCATCTAAGATTGCGCTCACTTGATATTTCTTCACATGGTGATATCCACTCTTACTTGATTTTTGGTTTGCTACCTACATGGGACTGGTCAGAGGACCAGAGTTTCAATTTAGACTGTCGTTTCCTGCCTTAGTTGCTGGACATCAGCAGAGTAGTGTGTGTGTGGGAGTCCCATGAACAGACTCATTGCTCTGTGTCTTTATTTGCATCCTCTCCTTAACTAGCACGATGACTCTGCAGATGAACATTCCCATTTTATAGATGGCAAAATGGCTTCAGGAAAATTTTAGGAAATGAACCCACTGGCACACAATAAATGGCAGATTCAGGACTTAATCACAAAGTTACCTTCCAAGGGGCCTGTACTCATCAGGGCTCAAATTTCCTGTTTCCTTTGAGTCAGGTCCAGTGATATCTGAATTATCTTCTGGCTCTGACCTTGGGCCATTTCAGCTCCTCGCTTGTTCACGACTGAACTGGAGGGGAGGAGACTGACCATATGAAGATGGAGTGTGTTTCAGAAGAGTACTCCTCTCTAAGACAGGGAATCCTGGTGACCACAGGTGCACATCCCAGTGGAGGTCATGGACATCCCTTTTATCCTAATGCAGCCTGGCTTCAGATACTGGCCTCTGCCTGGCTCCTTGGGTCTATCCTGTCCTTGCCAGTGAGGATAAAACAAACCCCAGCACCTTGGCACTTTTTGCCCAGTTAATTTCTAACTAAGGAATGTCTTGCTGCCAAAGGTACAAAACGGAGGCCTTGTGTTTTCACACACATGTGTGACGCCCCCCAACCCCACCCCATGTCAATCATTTGGAGTCTCTAGCTATTAGGAGAAAGAAAGAAAGAAAAAAAAAAAAACCTACCACCTCACCACTTGGAAAAAAGAAACACTACGCCAAAAGAAAAAAAAAATATTCCCCCTCCCCTAAAAAAACAATCTCAGGAAACAGAACCAGAGAGCAATTGGAGGAGAGGTTGCCAATCAGGGGCAAATGTATATATATAAACATATAAGAGGCATATCCTTGTGAATGGACTAATCCCACTTTTCTGGCTTCAGGTAAGGCTATCTGTAGTTACCCTCTCCTAGCAGAGTTTCTGCCCCATCTAATCTTCCAGTGGTTCCCATTTGCCTTAAAGGATAGGGGAAGAAAAGGAAGAGTTTGGACATTGGGTTCAGACCTGGATACATGTCATTATTTTGCTGATTACTGGCTTCATGATCTTTGATAAGTCTGTTTCCCTCTCTTTGAGCTTAAGCTTTCCTAAAAGATAATGACTATTAGTTTTCCATTCAGCCAATAAATGTTAAACACCCAGTAGGTACCAGGAACTGAGGGTACAGCAATGGACATTTACTATGTGCTGGTCCCTGCTTTACATCTATAGTCTTAATTAATCCCAGTGACAATAACATGCAGTCTGTTACTACTTGCCCTAGCAGTTTCCAAACTATGGTCCACAGTTAGCAGGGCATGAAGTCATTCTATTTGTGGGTTATAGTTAGAATTGTATTTTCATTAAATGGAGACAAATATGTCAGGAAATAATACACATAGTGCGGTTAAGAATTGTTTTATGAAACTTGTATTTTGCTTTTAAGTATGTGCTCACGTGCACACGCATACACAGCAACTGCACTGAATCATGACAAAACGTTTTCTTTATAGGACGTTATGGTCACAAAGGTTTGAAAAACATGGCTCTATAACACAAGTGCGTGCATACAAGAATTTCTTCAAACGTTGTAGACTTTCAGTTTGTAAAAGCAGTGACCCCTATTTCATCAATCAGAAAACTGAGTCTTTGCGAATTGAAATACCTTGTTCAACATCACACTCCCAGTAATTGGGAAAACAGGGATTTGAATCTGGGTTACAGGTTCTGGGTCCCACACACTTAATCACCATGCTACCTTATTTTGCTGCTATAAAAATTGGGCTAATGCTAACATCCGCTAAAGTGACCACTCTAGAAACGTGAAAATGGGCTGTGAAGGTCAATTACCTCTCAAGCTGTGTATCTCAAGTCTCTCCTTTACAATACACAAGTTGCATGTGCACACACGTTGCCACAGTCATTGTTTTCCTCGGCACCTAGCTCCCTCTGTGGCACATAGTAGCTACTCAATAAATGCTTGTTGAAAGAATAAGTAGATCTGGGCAAGTTGGACCTTTCCAGGCAGAGGATCAGGAATTGGCCTTTACAATCTGAAGCCTTCTCCAGTCAGGTGGTGAGTCCTGAACCTTACCCCATCCTGCTGTTTCCTGCTCCAAATGAGACTTGGTGTTTCAAAATGTGCAATAGTCTGAGACTTGGGGAGCCAAGGCTGGGATGTGGATGGGAGTAAGGGTGGGGCTGCAGAGAAGAAAACCTGACCCAAGCCAAGGCTTGAGCATTGCACAATTTTTATAATGCACATTAATGGCATCTTCTGCAGTTGTGCAGTCACAGCCAAAGCTCTCCTCCAACTGTGGGACGGGAGTTTGATCACGTGTTTGTACCATTCATCTCTGTTCATGGGATTTCAGGCATAAGAGAGAGAGGAAATCAAGGTTCATACCTTTCCAGGTCTTTGGGCAGTTCTTCCTAGAACCAGAGTAACGAAGAGCAGGAAAAAAATGGGCTGGCTGTTCTCTCTGACCTGGATGATGATAGTAGTGGTGGAGACCCCTTGGCTCATCACAGCTGTAGCTACAGACATCTCAGAAGCAAGTACGTGATCTGTATGTGTGCATGTGTGTGTGTATATGTAAAGTCTGCACTAACTTCTACTGAAGGGGTCTCAATCCCTGTCCTATCACTCTTGGGATTTGCATAGTCTTTATTCAAAATCCATTTCTTAGACTGTCTAAGGAAAGGACTGGGAAGTTTGCTAAAATGCGGGTTCTGGTTTAGTAAATCCTGAGTGGGGCCCGAGACTCTGCATTTCTAACCACCTCCCAGGTGATGCAGGTGCCGTGGTCTTTGGACCCCACCTGGTGACGCTAAGGGCTACAGTAGCACTAAGGCTTGCAGCACTCACTGGGCAGGCAGGAGCACACAGGAGATCTGAACACACCCAGGTGGCTCCCAAACGTCTGCCCTCTTGTCCTTGAGAAGCTGTTCCAGCAGGCTAAGCATTGCCCTCATCCTGCTCTCAGCTTCTCCTTTGCAGTACTTGGGGGCACCTTAACTCCTATCGTGGTGTCATGGTTAAATGCACAATGCACATACTCTGTGGTCCTGCCTCTGGGTTTGGGTTCCGGTTTTGCTGTCTATCAATGGAGCAAGTCACTTAATCCTTCTGAACTGACTTCTTCATCTTTAAATAAAGATAAATAATTTCAGGCCAGGCACTGTGGACCCACATGGAACGGTCCTAGGTCATGTCCCAGGACCTCTCTGTGCATGCTTGGCACACATATGTATGCTCATGATCTGGACTAACTGAGATGGTGATTCTGATTGTGATGTGAAGGTCCTGTTGGAAGTGCTTTTCTCTCTCTCTCTCTCCATCTCTCTCTCTCATGGAAGAAAAAAAAAATGATTGCACAGGGCCACTGGGAAGGATTCAATGAGATAGTGAATGAAAAGTGCATACCCAGTTGTCTGGTATGTCGTACATGCTTAATAAACATTATGCCATGTTTTAATTATCTTTCATATTATTTTTATTGTGGTGGAACAAAGTGTCACTGTCCTGCCAGGTGGAGTTGGAAGTCTCCAGAGAGAAGGTGACACTGAGCAGGGTCTTGGTGAAAGTTCACCATGCAGGGAAAGGGATCTGGGCAAAAAGAATAAAATGTAGGAAGGCTGGGAGGGGGTGGCAGGTTCCCTACCAAAGTAGGACTTCTGTGCATTGCTTCCCTGGCTGTGGGGATTGTGGATATTTTAAAGGAAGACACAACTTGAAGGCAATACTTAACACAGAATGGATGGTGGAAGCTTTAGATGTCATCTGGGAGGTTCAGTTTTTGTTTTGGTGGGATTTGGCTAGGGAGTAGGGGAACGTGGGATCCCTAGGGGCCTCTCCAGATGGCTTTGGCCCAGCTGTGCACACTCTTGAGGCAGGGCTCATCTGTCTGCAGGAAGATGCTCTGAATGTCACAGCAATGCCACTTGCATGGAGGATGGTGTGGTCACGACGTGCTCCTGCCAGGAGGGCTTCACGGGCGACGGCCTCCTGTGTGAGGACCTGGACGAGTGTGCCGACCCTGGGGCGCACAACTGCTCCACCAACAGCAGCTGTCTGAACACCCCGGGTTCCTACACCTGTGTCTGCCCGGATGGCTTCCGTCTGACGCCTGGGCTCGGCTGCACAGATGTGGATGAGTGTGTGGAGCCAGGACTCAGTCACTGCCACTCCTTGGCCTCCTGTGTCAATGTAGAAGGCAGTTACTTATGTGTGTGCCCCACAGGCTACCGGGGAGACGGAATGCACTGTGAGTGCTCCCCGGGTTCCTGCGGGCAGGGGCTGGACTGCGTGCCCAAAGGCGACACGTACGTGTGCGCTGATCCGTGCCAGGTGCACGGCACTCTGGACGAATACTGGCGCAGTGCTGAGTATGGGGGAGGCTATGCCTGCGACACTGACCTGCGCGGCTGGTACCGCTTCATAGGCCAGGGTGGTGTACGACTGGCGGAGACCTGCGTCCCAGTTCTCCGCTGCAGCACGGCCGCGCCCATGTGGCTCAACGGCTCGCACCCGTCAAGTAACGAGGGCATCGTGAACCGCACGGTCTGTGCCCACTGGAGTGGCCACTGCTGCCTGTGGAACACTTCTGTCCAGGTGAAGGCCTGTGCTGGCGGCTACTATGTCTACAACCTGACACCGTCTCCCGAGTGCCACCTGGGGTACTGCACAGGTGAGTCAGGCTCCCCCACCTTCCCAGCTCCGCCTCCGGGCACTGCCAGGGATTAGGACACATTCTTCTTGTTGATTTTCTGTCGTTGTAAACCTACAGACCCCAGCTCTGTGGAGGGGACGTGTGATGAATGCAATACAGATGAGGACTGCAAATCGGACAACGGCAGATGGCGCTGCCAGTGTAAACAGGACCCCAATGTCACAGGTGAGGCCAGTGGGGCAAAGCCAAGGTGAGAAGACAGGGGGGGGAGGGACTCACTCCCAGGTGTGAGGGGAGGGCCTTTGGCCATGACCCAGTGGCTATGTACTATCCAATCTGAGTGAGGAGATAAGA